TGTCCCAGCTTCTGCCACCCTAGCAGTTCGAAAGCATGTAAAAATGCAAGTTGAAAAAATGGGAACCACCTTTGGTGGGAAGGTAACAGCGTTCTGTGCTCCTTCGGTGTTTAGTCATGCCGGCCACATGACCACGGAGACATCTTCAGACAGCGCTAGCTCTTCGGCTTTGAAATGGAGATGAGCAGCGCCCCCTAGAGTCGGGAACAACTAGCACATATATACGAGAGGAACCTTTAGAGCAGTGTTTCTCAACCTTGGCGACTTTCAGTCCTTTGGACTTCAACTCCCAGAATCCCCCAGCCAGCATAGCTGGCTGGGGGAATTCTGGGAGTTGAAGTCCACAGGACTGAAAGTCGCCAAGGTTGAGAAACACTGCTTTAGAGAGTCATTGAGGCCACTTGGACACAGATAAACCTCCAAGCAGCCTCAGTGACTCTCCAAAAAGAGTGCAAATAACCAACTCTCTCTGATTGAATCTATTATTGTGTGTTCTATGTTCCAAATGTTTCCATCTAGCCCAGTCGTTTGCATTCTTTTAGTGAGTTGTTAAAATCTCCAGGTGACCTTAATATTAAAAGGATGCAAATGACCAGCTGCCTGCAAGGAGTATAAATCCTTCCATTCCCCACCATCCTTCAGTCAGAGCTGAAGAAGCGTCTTGGATGACAAGCGAAACGTCTTCAAAGAAAAATCAGAAAGTCCAGTTGCCTCTTGGGGGGAAAAAAAAATCACCTTTGAGATTGACTCAAAGTCTTCTCAAGGAGCTTCAAATACTGAACCTAGAACCAGGGTTTTTTAACACACCTAGTCCAGCACCTTCAATTTTGGACCACATGGGAAATAAATCTAAAATCCAAACTGTGCTAAGAATAGTTTGACGTTTAATTTATGCTACTATCCCTGAGCTGATTCAGCAACCATTAAATCAGTGTTCCTCAATCTTAGCAATTTTCAGATTCGTGGACCAACTTCCAGAATTCGACAACCAACTATTGAGGAATTCTGGCTGGGGAATTCTGGGAGTTGAAGTCCACCTATCTGAAAGTTGCCAAGATTGAGGAACACCAAACCCGGAAACTTTAAGACTTATGGACTTCAATTCCCAGAATCCTCCAACCAGCATGCTCTCTGAGGAATTCTGGGAGATGAAGTCCACAAGATGCCAAGTTTGGAGACTCCTGAACTAGACTGAAGCAGGAACATCACGAAGCACAAATGGGTCTTTTAAGTCATGGGGTTTCCAAAACTTGGCCACTTTAAGACTTGAGGACTTCAATTCCCAGAATTCTCCAACCAGCATGCTCTCTGAGGAATTCTGGGAGTTGAAGTCCACAAGTTGTGAAATTTGGAGACTCCTGAACTAGGGTGAAGCAGAAACGTCACCAAGGACAACTGGGTGTTTTAAATCAGGGGTCTCCAAAACATGGCCACGGTCGGACTTGTGGACTTCAACTCCCAGAACTGCTTTGCTGGTGGAGGAATTCTGGGAGTTGAAGTCCACAAGTCTTCGAGCGGCTAAGGTTGGTGATCCTTGCTTTAAATAAATAAAGTGAAGATCCAAACCTGAAACCAACCCTGTTCAGATACAAATCAGTGACATAGAACCCCCTTCAAATTGGTATATTTCTGGAAGGAGCTCGGCTGGATTTCTTGAGTATTATACCTGCCATTGGCTTTACACGAACTTTGTACCCGCTGGTGTTTCCTTCGCTTTCCTTCCACTTCATTTGTAATCTGTCTTCTGAAAGGACTGTCAGCTTCAGGCGGTTTGGCCCTGCAAAGAAACAGCATTATTTGTACAAATAGAAACAGAAAAAGTGATGGGTTTTGTGTGGGGGAGTAGAGGTGGCTATTGTTACTTTATCAGATGTGGTATTCACTTACTTTCCCTACTGGTTCGCAAATGTGAGTGCGCGCACATCAATGCATGCAAAAGGCCATCTGCGCATGCGTTTTGCTCGCACGCACAGCTTGCACGCATCCACGCAGTTTGAAAATGTGCCTAAACAGGACGGCAGAGAGCTGGGGCAAGTGGGCAGGTCCACCCACGATTTCCACTATTGGTTCAGGCAAACCGGTCTGAACTGACTGAATGCCACCTCTGGACTGCATCCTTCAGTGCCTTGTCTTTGACGCACTGATTTGAGGATCAATCTGGTAATATGGGGCATCTGTCCCTCGGCACATTAAATCTGGGTGGATTTGAGGTTCAAGGGCCTCGCTGCCTGCCTAGTGAGGTTCTGTCTTTTGGGCCTAACAAATGCAGCCAGAACCTGTTCATAGAATAGAATAGAATAGAATAGAATAGAATAGAATAGAATAGAATAGAATAG